CGAGCAGAAGAGAAAAGGCGGAGCCGGAACGAGCTTCTTCGGCGCGAGTATAGTGGACGCCGTCTGAAGGCTGCCGAGTTTGAATCCCTGCCGTAAGAACTTCAGCGCCGAAGACGTTGGAAAGCGTCGCTGGCAGCAAAGGCTTCGAACCTTAGTAATTGCTGTTGGAGCTAGAGCCGTAACGGTATTGGTCGACGCCGTAGCAGTTCACCTTGACTACACAGTTGTGAGTTCTACCACAACTCCCAACGCCACGATCGCAGGTAAGCCAACACGTTCTCATTAGGCCTGCTCCTCCAGTACTTTGCGAAAAGTACGGCAGAATGGAAACGGGGCCACTTCTGTCTCGGTCCATGTCTCTGGAGGAACCGGTAAAGTACCCTACTTCGCGGCCGAAACAAAGAAAGGTTAGCGTGTTTACCGAATATGCCGACAGACGAGAAGAAGTTCGACAGCTACCTAACCTAGTTCCCTCAGTACCAACCGAAAAGCTCGCAGCCAGCAGCACTAACCGGGACCGATGACCATAGCCATTATGAACTCGAGCCTTTTCTCGCGAGACTCTGTAACCTCGACATCGGTGACAGGCAGAACCTCAAACAAGCACTTCTGCGTCTACTGCAGCAGCTTCTCTACGGTGACAACCTGGAGGTAATGTCTCTGGTCAGCGGGCATCCATCTGTGGCGACAAGCAATAGCAACTCAGCAGCTACCCTTTCTCAGCCACCGAACAATTCGAATCAACGAGCTAAGAGCTCCTCACTTAAAGACCGAGCATCGGCGCCAGACCTTCGAGTTGCGATACCGGACAATGCGCAATTCCATCGCAATAGTATATCGAACCGCTCCTCCTCCAGTATTGGCACGCCGTCGCCAAGGACCCCACGGACCCGTGGCATCATGGACTCGGGCGTCCCGCCGCCTATTCCGCCTCAATTCCGGGCGCCGGCTTTCAATGCGCCTTCAACCAAGACGGCTGATTGGCCGTTGCCCCAACCTCATCGTTCGTGGGATGGAAGCCAGCTACAAGCACACGGAGGACATTCTCAAGCAGCACAAAACATCCAGCGCAGCATGCATCTGCATGGAAGTGCCCTGGATAGCCCAATCTCTCCGAGACATAGTCGCCCGGCGCGCAGCAACCCTCCCACTTACAGGGGAGTTCGGATGTGAACGACTGGATACATACACAACTCCTCGACGCGGCTATTTGCAGGCTTGGAACCATTTTTCTCTATGACCTCTGATCTCTTTATCACCACCATGGGCAGGCCTTTTTTTTCACGCATCTGTGTCTTTCTCACTTGCATCTAGACTTTCCAAGTCACACAATCTCTGCCTTCCAAACAAAAGAGGCTGTCCTCTTCCCCCCCCCTCGTCTGCGGGCGCAGAAATTACCTTCCCTTGTTTCTGTCCTCTCCCTTTCATTCTACTCTGACAGAGTTACATATCTCTTGCGACCTCGGCGGCAATTTTCTTATTCCTTTAACCGCATCCATGCTTGGCCATGTTTTCATTTCCAGAACATATTTTGTTCGATTATAGGCATTCTTTAAGCTTTGACTGAACTGACTTGATACATGGGAAACTCTCTTCGATACCCCTCTTCTATTTTCATTTGTGGGCTATCTTGCATATGTTTGTTACAAGTATGTTCTTTTTACTGCTCTTGTTTTGAACTCTTTTTGTTTCACTGAAAATAAAGAAGAAAAGGGGAAAAAGGAGTATCGCGGGAAACAAGCGAAGGAGGAAATACTATCTGCTACTATCTTTTTTATCTCCTACGTGCGTCTAGGCATATCTACAGACGCTGGGCATTGTACTATTAGACAAAGTCGAAGCTTGAAATTCAGATGACTTGATGACGTTGCTCGAGTATCAGCCTACCTACTAGCATTTCGAGGGGCATATGTACATATGTCTCGTGGAATCAAAAGCAGTTGTTATTTTGAATAGAATATACAATTCCATTGGATATTCAGACGACCCAACAGAACAAAATATATCTAGTATGCCCCCTTCCGCTTCTTGAAACCCGGCCCCTGAACCACGTCCACCCTCTCCCTCCCCGTGAGAACCGGCGACTTGCTCTTGAGCGCCAGCCCGGGGACCTTGGCGCCACGACCTTGCAGCGCCCAGAGCGCGACGCCGATCCAATTGTCGCCGTTGTAGTGGAGGATGCCCTCGGGAACGGGGAACTCCGTCTGCGGGCCAATGTTGCTGACGTACTTGCCGTACTGGAAGCCGTTGACGTAGAGCAGGGCACGGTACGGCCCCTCCGCGGCTGTGGTGGCGTTGTCGAAGACAAAGGACAGCGGGATGTCGTAGCTGTGGGCGGGCAGGTCGAGGGGCAACTTGGCGGCGTAGAAGGCGATGCCGGCGCTGGAGAGGCCGTCGAGGGGCGAAGAGGACGGGCCGTGGGTGAAGTCGCTGAGCGGCGGAGAGGGGAGGTGGAGGCCCTGGCGCTCGAAGAAGAGGCCGCCCTCGTTGAGGGGCCCGCGGAAGACGTCGCGGTAGTCCTCGCCGCCGAGGTTGCCCGTGAGTTTCCAGGATATCGAGACGTTTGATCCGGAGGAGGAGACGAGCGCGTAGTCGAGGATGCCGCGGGGGTTCTTCATGGAGTCGTCGCCGGTGGTCCAGTTCTCGTCCAGACCGTTGGAGTCGACGACGACGGTGAGGACGTAGCGCCGGCCGCGGACGAGCCCGTTGAGCGTGTACGACGAGTTGGCGGCGCTTGCGGCGTCGAAGCCGGTGAAGGAGCCGACGAAGCGGTCGTTGAGCCACACGGAGCTGGCAAAAGCCGAGCCGCCTTGGGTCGAGAGGAAGAGCTGCTGCTGTGCGGTGTGCGCCGTGAAGCGGCCGCGGAAGAGGAGCGTTCCGGCATTGAAGCCGTAGTCGGAGCCATAGAGCGATACGGGTGTTTTCAGAGGGGCGTAGGTGTTGTTTGAGGTTCGCAGGTTGGCAAGCGGCCAGCGGGAGTCGTCGTATCTGCTCTGAATTTCAGGAAGGGAGTCGATTTTGTACCATTTGAGCTTTGACAAGTTTGGGAGCTGGATGTCTGGAAACTCAACGGCTGGGTGGGCGATCCAGTCGCCGAGTTTAGAAACCGAGTAGTCGAGCTGTTTCCCGTTGACACTGAGCTTTGAGACGCCCTTTGGGATGCCAATGACTTCGAGCGGCGTTGTGACGTTGAAATCTGCTTGCAGCGAGAGAGTAGAGCCTTTGACGGCCACGGAGCGGATGAGGTAGCCTCCATTGACGATGACCGCGGCAGGATTCATCAAGGAGCTTCCGTAGGCAGGTTGCTTGCCACTTCCGGGGAGAGTGGGAACCCAGTAGTTGTATGCAGAGTTGCGATCTGCAGAGGCTGTAAGGACATGCCCTGGAATTTTGGGAAATGAATGCGATCTGGACACTTACCGACCATGTAAATGACCAAGTTACCCAGCTGAATAACTTGCCTGGTAGAGCCAACTGTCCACTGTAGAACAAGTGTCAGATCTTTCGTTGTATGGATGGCGACATTGCTCCCTTCAATCTTCTTAGCCTTGGTGGTCTTCGAGCTTCCGAATGGGTTTTTGACGGCAACTTCGTGCAGTTCTTGTGCGCCTCCGTACAGTATCAAAACAGTCTTGTCGGCAAACTTTTTCCAAGTGAAGATCTCTGCAGATGAATATAGCAATGTAAAGTTTCCAACGGGATAGTCTGTGACATGGAACTTGGAGTCACGTCGGTTTAAAGTAAGCGAGCCGCCCAGCTGAGGAATTGTGACTTCTCCTGCAGAGGTGGGCAGCTTGACCGTATAAGACGCCGAGTCTGTGCTTGAGTAGTTTGCATGGCGTACGACGAAGAAGCTACCGCTTTCCTTTGCTAGGAGCGGAGTTATGACAATGTTGGGATTGTCACTGTATACACCTTGCGTTGCGTTTTCCGGTGTCGCGGTGATGTATCCGGGAGAGACCTTGAGGAACTGACCCTCCAATTTCAGCTCCGAATACTTTTCCCTGTCGACTCTACGGTCCTCCCTGATACTCTATCGATCAGTTGGTTAGTCAACAGCCCAAGGGAGAGACATAGCGGGCAAGACTCACAGCTCCATAATCATACGATGTGTAACCGCCAGGGTGGCCGAGGTTGCCCCAGTTGGTGCCGCCATATGTCTAGTTGATAGCTTCAATAAGCTCTTTCCGTCCAAATCACACACATGTCAATGGGAGAATACGTACCATATATAGGTTGAGAATGGTCACGCCGGCTGCCATATTATTCTTATAGAAGACTCGCTCAAACTCGTGATTGACCAGGGCAGAGCATTGTTCAAAACCCCAGCCGCCAAAGGGGTCAAATGCACCGCCTTGGAACTAAATGGAAGAATTAGAGAATGGCGATACACACAGTGATGGGAATAAGGAAGATAGCAACCTCAACAATGGAGAGTGGCGTGTTTGGACTTATATTCAGATGGTCCTGATGCCACGTTGTAGGCAGGGCGTTGTCTGGCCAGGTATTGGGATGAGCCTATCATAGGTACGTTGTTAGTGTATACGGCAAACTCACACTCAGTGGTCAGTTTCTCAACGTACGCAGTCAAAGCCAAGGGGATAACCATCAAAGCCCTGTGGTGAGTTAGCATGTGCCAGCATGTCGAATGCCTTAGTTGAGGAAGACATACGTAGATGTCGACCGATCCAAGACCCGTTCCGGGGGCGCCTGTGCCACCGGGAAAGGCATCGTTGTTGATGAGAGGCACCACGATGCTGGCATTTCGAGCCTGGTCAATCACGTACTGTAGGTATGGCTTGTTTGGGAACAGAGTGCCCTCGGCGGCGCCGCTATACTCGTTCTCTGGTTGATACAGAATCACCGGTCCTCCGTTTGTGATTTGTGCCTTTGCAATGATCGAGGCAATGTGAGACGCATAACTATCCTAGGTAAGCATCAAGTGAAATACTAGCACGGTTCATTTTGAAAGCCAAGGTTGACTCACTTGTCCGTGGCGTGGAGGTAATCGGGGGAATCTGTTCTCAGATGGCCCTTGACCCTCTGCAGCCAGCCCGGAAAGCCGCCTCCCGACACCTCGGCGTTGATGTAAGGCCCTGGGCGAGCCAGCAGGTAAATGCCAGCCTTGGTGGCAGCTTCGAAGAAGGGCTCTAGGTCGAAGATGCCGTCGGCACGGAACTTGCCTGGCTTCCCTTCTAAAAGCCCCCAGTCGACATAGAACGAAACCGTGTTGAACCCAAGAGCCTTGATCTTTTGGAACACGTCAAGATACAGGGACGGCACAGGCAGACGAAATGGATGGACTTCGCCGGAGAAGATGACGACGCGCTCGCCATGAACGAAAAGAGAATGTTCGTCCCATGTGACAATGTCCTGAAGGGGCCCTTTTCCGTCGTCGAGTATGATATCACGAGGTCGCCGGCCATGGATGCCGATGCTCGAGGCATTGACACCTGCGAGCAGCAGAGCAAATGCTGACAACAAAGAGGCCGTTTTCATGGCTTTCTTTTGACCTTCTAGACGTCTTACTATGTTCTTTCACGTCGCAGTCTCATCAATGGAGGAACGCAAACGACCTGACGGATCAACAACTAATACGACAGCCACCGCGGAATAGCTACTATTTATGCATATTCTTCGATTCATCGCAGTACCGATTGGCACCGAGGGGCTCCTTTCAAGGCCGAGTCCCCTGGGTTTCACCGCATGGTAGCAGTGCTGCTCTCGCAGATCGCGAGCCATGTAAGTGAGTCTTCCATGACGAAAATAAGGAACGATTTGGATGTATCTGGAAAGGTTGGCTGAAGGAATGAGATCCCGAAAGCGCGGGGTAAAGCTCGAAGCTTGTGCTGCCATTGGACCGCATAGTCGGCAGTTGGTGTTGCTTTTTGCCTATAAAGGAGGCGTACATAGCAGGCAGAACCGATGAAGACGATCAAGGCGATGATGGACGGCGGCGAGCTTCATAGACCATTGCAGCACCGGGGTCATGGTAGATTCCGCCTCGTGGACTTCCCTAAGCGTTTCTCCGATGTCGAGATTGGTCCGCCTAAAGGCTCTTGACGCATCTGCCTTCATTCCGCCGCTGTAAACGAGATGTGATGTTGAATGATGCACCTGGTGTTGTCATATTTGCTCCTGGCAGCTTCCGGCCAACGAGAGCGGCAATCTCGCTGACGGAGTTTGCGTGGTATTGTCGTCCTGAGGCCGAGGAGCACCGCCTGCATGTGTCTGTTAGTTGATTCTTCGTTCTCCCTCTCCTTCTCCGGAGAGCAACCCTGCTGGTACAGACCGTTTCCCTTCTTCTCCGCCAATGCCCTGCCTGGGATATTCCGTACCGGCATGAGCAAAAGACATCTCAATGACAATCGTGCCTCAGGCTGGAAGCAGAATGTTGAGTACATGTAGAGTCCTCCTTACGTCATCCGCTGTTTCCCTTGTTTCCTCAAATTGCGAGCTTGAATTTAAGTTATGACACGAGTCCCTTACGAGGAAGGAGCTTCTTCAAGGGTCTTGCAATCTGAACACCATTAAACGGATTAGGCATCTGCTTCAAGTGACAGACTGCGATTTGCACCGGATCTCAACTCTGTCAATTTCGCTTTGAGTGATAGTATTTTGATATTTTTCCGTGGCCAAGACATGTCACTCCAGCGTCCTCTCCTTCCCGTCCGGATCAAGCCTTGTTTCATCCTTGTTGTCAGCGTGAAACATGTTGCCAACAGAGGCTTTGATACGCAGCTTATGCGTGTGCGCGCGCGCGCGCAGCATCACGAAGCCTTTTCTCCGTCCTGCGTGAACCTCTCTCAATGCTGCTACAACTGATTGAGCGTAGCAGAGCTGACAGGCAAAGTAAAGCTGCTGTTTCCCTGCCTCTTCTTCTTTTCCTGACTCCTGCCAGGTATTGAATGAAGCCATCTGCGATTGATCCCTTGATGACATACATAGGCTCATGAATGCATAAACAATGCTCGTCATAACTCGGGCTCCAGCTCTTGGCTATGTCGATCATACGGACGCGGACGAGGCGTGGCTTAACCGTTCGCGGACGTACGACGGAGAGGACTTTCGACGTCGAGTTGGTTACGGAGCCAGCATGGGCGTCTATGGGTAGCTGAGGCCCGGAGACCCTTAAGAAGTTTCGTTTGCGGCACATATTGTTGAGCATGCTACGTCGTCGTGTCACACGGTAGACGGTCCTCAGGGCCTGCTGGGGGTCGTGTCGGGTCCCCAGGCTCAGGCGCTTATCGGTGTTCAAAGCTCGAGTACATTAGGTAGTATAACGTG